TTTTTTATGTTACGTATGAGTGTCATTTTTCGGTGAACCGCACTGATTCTTCACTTTTTTGCTCACTTGTAATCACATCGGAAAAGTTAAGAAGTTTTAGTGGATATCTTTTATTGCTCTAAGAAATTTGAAGAACAAATACAGTGAATAAGAAAACGTGACGAAATGTCCGAGGTAAAACTGATACAAGTTTTGAGGCTTTACAGCGTCGGCCCACTTTTCTTTCTGATGCGCCACGCCTTTCGTTTCGACCGTGAATCATAGAGGCACCTGAATCCAGTGTGGTCGTATGCAATGTTTTACAGAGGATAACTCCAGACCAACTTACCTTCCATCCTTTTGGTTGGTTGTCTTTGTAAGGAGGAAGTGAGTAATCGCCACAAATCTTTGTGTAGGCTGGATAAATCTTTGTAAAAGGCTCTATGACTTGTGATGGAGGTCGAATGCATGGCGCATACCAGTTTAAAAGCAGATTGGTTCTAACTGCTGTCGACACTTCGATAAATCTTTGGTTTCAGCTCAACGAAATACATGCCGAAGTTGTCGTTTCGACGAGTGCATGCGTCGGGGTATGAAAAAGGAAGCGGTACAAAGCGAAAGAGACCGGTACTTGCTTAACTATTTACGAACTAGCCAGTAGTATAATTTGTCATTGCAAATGATGAAATTTCCAGGATTCGACCGAATGGTTCAGGTCCGATCCCAGACGACCCTCTACTGGACGCCCTGCTTTCCGCCGAAGCAATTGTACGCCAACTGCGTTCGTCGGTAATCACGCGAACCGTCGACGCACGTCGTCAAGCGACCACCGGCGACGTGACTGACAGGTTACACAGTGATCCATTTTGTTGCCCTTTATGAGCGAACGATTGTGCTCCCACAGTCTATACGGGTATCAGTGTGACTGAACCACTTGTTATGTACATTGCATCTAGAGGAAAAAAATCCAGTGATTTGAAAGCAAGGGTTAGGATCGAGTTGTGATGCGCGAAACAGCAGTAATGTGAATTGGGGTGATTCCAAGAGAGAAAACTAGCGGAAAGTGAGAGGGACTATGGATTCAGTTTTTCCTCGTTCCGGTACGCCAGCTAGTTCTGAATTACTGAATTTACTGTTCCACATTGCCATACGGACATATACAGGGTGGCGAAAAATTACGTGCGCCATAAAAAACGCTCGAACTTTATTATTCGTATACCAACATGGGAAGAAAAATATTTTCTTAGAACAACAACAATGACATTCAAAGTGCCCGCCTTCTGCTTTGATACAGGCTTCGATTCGTCTTTTCATCGAGTCGACGGTGCGCCGAAGGTAGTTGATGTCCAAACTGTTCCAGATTTTGCACACTTCCTTTCGCAAAGCCACCAAACTTTTCACGTTTCTCTTCCTTAGTTCCTCTTCCATATAACCCCAAACAGCAAAGTCCAAAGGATTCAAATCTGGGCTGTTAGAAGGCCACAGATCTTTCGTCAGAAAGGAGCCAATTTCGGTCTCGAGGAACTGAATGGTGGATCTCGCTGCATGGGCCGGAGCCCAGTCCTGCTGGAAGATGAAGTTGGGATGATTTTGCTTCCAGGGTAGCACAGCTTCTTCAAGGATTTCTTTTTGGTAGAACTTCGCATCAATTTTCACATTTTTGTCTATGAAAATCAACGAAGTCTTGTCTGATGCACTGATACCACCCCAAACCATTAAACTTTTGGGAAACAAACTTCTTGTGGCAATTTTTCTCTTCCGGGTGTTCTTAAGAGCTGGACTGAGAAGTTGGCGGTGATTCTGAGGGTTTTTAGCCACTTCCACAGTGAAGACTTTTTCGTCAGACCAAAGAACGTCCTCAATTCGGCGCACCTTGAAAAACTCCCGCAGTTTCTTGCATTTTTCTTTTCGACTTTGCTTTGTCTTTTCGGTGAGAACATGTCCATTCAATAGGCGATAACTTCGAAGCCCAAGCTCATTTTTCACTATCATTTGAACGGACTTTCTGGAGATCTCGAGCTGCTCTGCCATTTTGTTCATGCTCCGATCATCCTTACGGTCAATTCTCTTCTTTATAATACCACGCATCCTCCTTGTGTTGACAGTCCGCTTCCTTCCTCTTCCCGGCTTGGTTAAGACGTGTCCTTCCTCCTTCCATTGCTTCACAATCTTTTGAACTGTTCTCAGAGGAATTCTGAGCTTCGACGAAATTGCACTGTTCTTCATCCCGCCGCTGGCTAGGCGTGCAATCTCCTCGCGACTTGTGCAGGCCTGCACCATGGTCTTGAGAACAACTTTCTCTTCACAGGCTGATTGTTGAAGATGCAAAGAAAGCAACTGATGCGTAAAAGCTGACTTTGATGCTCAAAGCAGTCACGTGATCGCGTCAAAATTTGCGCGCACGTAATTTTTCGCCACCCTGTAATTCAAGCGCTTGGCCACTGTTGCTTAAAGGCACGCTCCACGATTAGGCGCGCTTGCCTCTTCCATCCCGGGGGTAGTAGGCAGGCGGACAAGTGTTGTTGTCGCACCCCTTTTGCCGCTTGAAAGTGCGCGACAAAGGCACAAGCAGCTCGTCCGACCTGCAACTCACACCTTCGTCCGCAAGCCCCACCCTCCGCTGTCCGTTGCCACGTGGCGCTGCTTGAAAAGCGCGGGCGCATTTGAGGCAGCGGTCCCACCGCGATCCTGTGTCAATGGCACTGGAGCAACTAGAGTCAGGCTCGCGAAACTCGTCCAACGCGCCTTTTCTCTATCCCAAGGTGGAATGTTGCTGAAATAGGGAGGTTTCTGTACGGGGCGTAATCTGTGATTTCGTTTGCTTTCCTTCTCTTTTATAGACCACCTCCCACCTCTAGTATCATGAGTGAACGCTTTTAGACACCTATTTTATCCCGAATCTTGCCTTTAAGTAGAATACCAATACTGACCGACCTACAATCTCAACTTGTGAGGCGAAGGAGCGAGAACTTGTAATGCTTTCTTTCTAGGCGAACTTGTAAGCGAGCACTTGTGGTTTGAGTAGAAACTGCCAAAACTCCTTCTCCTTACCTCCTTTTATACTGTTTGGCGAGCTTGAAAATTTGAGCTCATGAAAATCTATCCATAAGAACATAATCGACACCCATAAGCTTCAAAGAGCCAACATACCAACAGAATGATGGCAAAAAGCACAACACATACTTGACTACATTAGAATCAATAAAAAAGTAACA